AATTGTTTGCATAGATAGTAATCATGTGATCTATCAGCTGACTCCCTTCCATCATTCAGCTGCTCCATCAGTTGATTGGGCTGTTTATTGGACTAATGCTATGCTCAATTCTTGGATTGCAATTTCTGGTGCATTGATGTGTAAGGAGGGTTTTACTGTTGTATCTGGTTGATATTGAGCTAATTTATACCTCTGTATACAGTTAGGTCACACAAACCAGTGGTTCCTAATTATAACACTGGACTTTGTTGTGAAATATTGGATGAGTTCACCTTCTTGAACAATTATTTAAAAGAACCTGAGTTAAGAGAGGAAATCCATCTTTAGTCAAACTGCTAACAATGCATAGACATCTGTGACAAACGACCCGTCTCACTCCTTTTGTAAGATTGGCTTAAGTTTTACAATGTTCTTTATGATCTTATCATGTTTTTGTAATGTAAATTTTCACAAAATCTTAGTCTGAAAAGTAACTACTATCTATAACTGTTAAATGTAGTGCAGTAAGAGTGCGATATTTCCTTCTAAATTGTAGTAGAGCAGCAGTGGCATGACATGGAAATACTCAAGGAGTGCATGGACACCATGACAGGTGCAACAAGTATTATAAAGCAACATAAATTAAATAACGTGACACTTCTTATAGAATCAACAGCCAAACAAAACATCACCAAAGCAGACAACACAGAATTGTGATAACAGTATAAAGTCCACAGCAGCTGCCGCCACAAACACACCAACACGCTAAATCAAAGTAGAAAGCTGGGGCTTTTACACACTGAGTAGAGCACACGCAATACTATGGGGACATTCTCCACTTACAACCATCAGGGTAAGTTTGTTTTACTCACCTGTCTGAGCTTGAGTGTGGGGCCCCTGGAAGTCATTCTCTGCTCCGTCACTCTAAAAGTGTAGTAAGTACTGCACTCAGCCTCTCTGTCCCACGGTGCTCCTCTGAGTATTCAGACATTGTGAACTGAATGAGGTTCTGCAGTCAAAACTGTGACAGGGACTGACAGCCATAAACAGCAAGGTCAAACTTCCTGACAGAACAAAGAAGTCACAGCTGGATGATCCACCATGAGCACTTTAGCGTGTTAGCCATACCCAGCACGCACCTATCAGATATGCTTATATGCATCACTTAGTGTGCTGGCTGGGTGGTACATTATACTGTTGATAGATTAGGGTTGACACACCAGGCCTTATGTTAATTGTTACCCATTATGACAAAACAGGGTCATTCATGTTGCTGCAAAATTTTAGCTTCATTAAAAAGATATATTTTTCATGTTTTGTCAGGAAAAGATTGGTCAATGTCAGGCACTCAGACAATGATTACTATGGGTGGACTGATATATAAACAGAGTGGAACATTTGAGGTTAATTAGCCTCAACTCTGTGAGTGATCCAGATTTAGCTAGCTACGCTTCCACACACTTTTATAACTATCAAATACTGTATGTTTTCAAAGGTTTTTTGATAAAGTTTATGCTTACCTTACTTTAGTCCTTTGAGTTCCTGCCAAAAAAGTCACTTCATGAAAATGGTCTCAATGGAATTGCAGTCTTTTTCTTCCTCTCCGTCTTCTTCTTTGGTTTTACTGGCAGGCTGAAAATTAACATTAAAGCCACCTGCAGTACTAGAGTGTGTAATATCATGACTTTAACCTCCTGAGACCCTGTGTCCTCATATGAGGACATGACATTTTGGGTTTACTTGACCTTATACTTCATTCTACTTAACTCAGACCTCAGTCCTCATGCGTGGACACTTTTTAGTGCCATCTAGTGGTAGTAAAAGCAGAGTACACTAATACCAGTAAAACAACATGGCAGCCATCTCTGCAAAGTCAGTCTGCAGCCGATCCCGACACAAAAGTGGGCAAGGTCCAAAACCTGATTGCATTTTATGGTTGAAACTTGTTTATGATTAATAGTGTTTGGAGTTTGATATGGCAACAAATTTGACCAATTTTAGCAACAGTAACTAGCTAAGACGCTGTCAATTAGAAAGTACTCGTTTGAGGACATTGGGACTTTATTATCATTTAAATGTTTATTTTTGTTATGCTTATTGGGTCCTACTGATCTCAAATTGCTAGGAGAAAAAAAAAATAAAAAAAATACATACCAAACAAAAGTTCGGGTCTCAGGAGGTGAACAACAACAACTGGCTAACCAACAAAAATAAATGAATAAATTACATTACATTACATTAAATCACTAATTAAATCATCAATTAAATTCTTTTTAAAAAATCAGACTTCAAACAACAAAAACTAAAAAACAAACAAAATAAATAATTAAATTAAATTAAACAAATAAATCTTTAAAGAAGTAATATTCTGGACATTAAACCTCTTTCATTGACATATTTTTAAAGCTCTTTGCAGCTGTACTCTTTATACCCTAACTCTTGCATTCTTTTTTTGGAAAGCAAGAAACTACAAACTAACAGGTTGGAAAATAACTTAAAGGGCATACAGTATATTATGAAAATGGTACAAATCACCATGGCTCTGTCAGAGAGAGTTTGACATGGCCTACATAATAAGAATATTTTCAGTATTTTACAAGCTATGGCTTTTATGGGACATGGCAAAATCGAGCACAAGTACAAAAACAAGCTCAGTTAAGTACAAAGAGTATTTTTAATATGCATTATCCTGTGTTTATGTGACAAAGAAAAATATCTATAATTTGTTGTAAATATTTGTCAGATGTGCAAAAAAATATTTAAGTATATAAAAGCTATGAAAATTAAATCTTGAAGTGGTTTGTCATTATGATCTGCCAGGTGCCACATACGACCACATAATTTAAAGTTTTAGTATAAAACAAATGAACATTCAAATAACTAATCTCATATTATAATAACAATAATATCACATTGATTCATGCACCTCTTTAACAGAATCGTAGAGGTACTAAAGCAGAATACACATATACAGTGTACATAAAACCTAATAATATTATGTATTTATTCAGCATGAATCGAGCCTCCAGACAACCCGGCATTATCCCAGCACATACCTAATTAGCACTTAGCGTATGACAAACAACAGAAAATAGCTTGAGTGCTGTGTGGGCAAGGCCAGGGGCAAGCTGTGTTGCAAAAGGTGAAAAATGAAGGTGTGCATACATCAGCACGGAGCTCTGTCATCTGTATGCACATGCCTCACAGCAACGTGAGAGAATTATCATTCGCAGTGTACATGCAAATAAGATCTACTACTTAGTAAGCACCTATTCAAAAAACTTTCCTCAAGTTGATGCACCGGCCTCGTTACCTCCACAGTGAATCAACCTGCTCTGATTCAGAGCTTCAAGAAGAAGCACTGCTTTAATGATAACTAAGGGTATTATTCAGGAGCTTGTGACTGCATCTACTTGTACTAATGCACCTCTTACACTTATTGTTCCGTCAGAGTCATTTGGAACAGAGCGTATTCAAAGCTGAAGCCTGACAGAGAAAAAAAGGTGGACATCTGCTATTAAGGCACGACTGCTGTAAGAGGATCCATTTAAACAGGATGATGATGACAGGTTGGAGAAGGTTATTAAAAAATGACACAGCTATTAGCTGCCATTTTCACAGGCTTGCAAAGGCGTAGATTTAAATCTTCATACAAAGGAATAATGCATTTTTCTGTACACTGAGGTCATATGAACACATTATTGTGTTTTCTAATCACTAGAAGAAATGCTGGCATTGTACATTTCTGCAAACCATGGATTATCTTTGCATGTTATTATGTAATGGTTGCTTTACGTTTCAGCAACTCTGCGGTAACCTGTAGTTTGGTTTAGGCCCCAAAACCACTTGCTTATGTTTAGGAAAAGATCATGTTTTGGCTTAAAAGGACCACTTTTGGGAGCACAATCCCTGCTGGAAAAGTAGTAATATCTCGATAAATATAACCGTGTTTGTGCAACTATCCCAGCAAGAAATGCAGCAATATCTCGGTGAAAAAAAACAACCACTCTTGGTGCCACTTTCCTGAAGAGGAATGCAGTGATGTCTCGGTAAAATACAACCGTTTTTGTGTCACTATCAAAACATGAAACGTAGCAATGTCTTGGTAAAAAATAATCACTTTTCATGCCACTACCCCACTAAGAAATGCAGCGATGTCTCTAAAAAAAAAAACACCCTTTTTGTGCCACTATCCTGAAGGGGAATGCAGCAATGTTATGGTATAAAACAACTGCTTTTCATGCCATTATCCCAGCTGGAAATGCAGCAATGTCTTTGTAACAAACAACCGCTTTTCATGCCACTACCCCAGCAAGAAATGCAGCGATGCCTCTGTAAGGAGCAACCATTTTTTGTGCCACTATCCTGAAGGGTAATGCAGCAATGTTATGTTTTAAAACAACTACTTTTCATGCCACTATCCCAGCTGGAAACGCAGCAATGTCTCAGTAAAAAAACAAACACTCTTCGTGTCACTTTCCTGAAGGGGAATGCAGCAATGACCCAATGACAAACAGCTGTTTTTGTGCCATTGTCCCGGCAGGAAATGCAGCAATGTCTTGGTAAAATACAATCACTTTTCATGCCACTACCCCAGCAAGAACTGTGCAATGTCTCTCTAAAAAACAACCACTATTTGTGCCACTATCCTGAAGAGGAGTGCTGCAATCTCTCTGTAAAAAACGACCATTTTTGTGCCTGAATCCCTGCTGGAAAAACAGCAATGACTCACAAAAAACACAACTGGTTTTGCTGTTTGTTGGTCTCCTACAAGGCTTTGCAGCTTGGCAGTCATCTCATGAAGGTGACCTCCCGATGACAAAGTCAGCTCATATATAACGTCACTACAATTAATTGTAGAGTCATGATGTGGCACGTAAAAAAACATGCAAATGTAAATGTATTCAGAGTTTGCAGAAACACACAATGCCAACATTTTCTCCTAGCGACTGGGCTGTTTTCCCAGAATGCTTAAAGAGATTCAAATAGCTATCTGTCTAATAAATTCAATTAAGATCAAGTGCTGTTTTATATTGTTTTATTTCAGATGTATTTCACAGACAACAACACACTTAATAAAAGAAGACATTGTAAAAAAAACAAGCATGGTAAAAATTCTGTGGCCCAGTCTTTTCATCAAAAAAGAGGCACTGGTGTTTATACAGAAATGCAGTGTAATTGTTATTTCTCTAGGATAATATCTCCTCATTGAAATAAAATGTTTTTGCTTCTAATTTTTACAACAACTTGTGTCGTTTTTATGAGGAAAGAACCACAAGGCCGACACTGTTTTCAGATGTACTGCAGCTTTATAGCCTTTTGTGCTGGAATGCTTTAGAGAAGTGTGTATCCTCTTTCAGACTCCTGTGAGGTTTTAAAGTCAAAATGCAATGAATCAGAAATAGTGATCCATTGAAAATCATCTTGTAATTGAACCGCAGCCTAACGAATCAAGGCAGATTAAAATTGTGAGCTCCCTGCAGAATCCCCATAGCAGCAGCACCGGGTAATATTTGTAATCTGTGTGATTGGAAATGGATTTACATTTTTTCTTTATTGCCAAGTTTGTGTGGACATGAAGAGGATCTGGTGAGACAGTGTTGGTCCTGTTCCACCCATCTGCTTTCTTGTTCAGTATATATAGGGGAAGATCCTGTAGGGGACACGTCGGCAGTAGGTGTCCCACGCCAGTCCGTATTTGGCCCGACACTGTCTCTCATCTCGGTCCTCTCGGTGAATCAGCAAGACGGTGAAATATATGACATAGAAGTAAGGCAGGAGGTGTGAGAATCCTAGAGAGAAGGAAACCATACACAGACTGTCAGCAGGAGGAAACACAACAGAAAAGAAAACTATAAAATGTTTGATTCACACATGAAATGATGAACTCGAAACGATCATCACAACAGAGAAAAACTGACACCTTCATCTTACTATTTGATCAGGATGTGAGTGACATCGAACAAGCTGTAATCAAGCCTCCCCCGCAGAGAGCTGTACATTTTCTTTTCTGTATTATACAAGAGCCCTGCTGTGAATACCAGTTTGATTAAGCTTATAATGTTCAAAGTGTTTTTCAGAAAATACCTTTTTGTCTTTCAGCCAGGGTCTCGATATGACCGCTGTTCCTCTTTGTCAGTGCAGCTTTCAAACGTTTGGAATATGCTGTCATGATTTTTCTTTTTGGAGTGCATTTGTGACTTTTACAGCAGCAATTAAGGGGCTGAAACCACAGTACATCTCAATTACAAAGGCAGCTACACAAGTGAGTCACGCAAAGTTTGAATACCAATGAGCAGAATGTGTCAGCTGCGACAAAAAGTCTGACAGCCACCATTTCAGGAAGAGGGATTTCAAGGGAACATAAGGCAGCTTACAGAGGAACAAAGAGGACACATTGTTGCTGCCTTTATTGCTTCTGCATCAGTCGCAAAAACATTGTAATTATCTAATAGACTTTTCTGGTCGCTACCGAAATGTCTTCCTAACAAAGAGTATCGGAAACTGTCAGTTACTGAGAGTCAGATGTGTCATTCAGTTTGCCTGGTTTAGTAACGTAGTTCCGGATTTAAAGTTCCAGTGAACTGGAAACTAGAGCACCATTAGCTTCTGAACTAGGACACATTTTCCAGTAAAACAAAATATTTGAGTGATGTCCTGTTACAAGAGGCAGACACCGTCTCTGTCACCGTTAAGAGCAGACTTAAGACTATTCTTTGATAAAGCTTTCAGTTAGGGCTGGCTCAGGCTTGCCTTAGACCAGCCCCTAGTTCTGCCGGGGGCACCTCCTATGATACACCAAGCCCCTTCTCTCCTTCTCTCGCTGTCTTCATTTGCACATTTTCATGTCCTATTCTGCATATTACTAACTCGTCTTCTCCCCCGAAGCCTCTGTGCTCTCTCATCTCAAAAGCCCAGTTTCCACCAAACACTTTCAGTATGGTGCCTTTGGAACCAACAGTAACCCTTCAGACATGGTACCTAGACCCTAGCGTTTCCACTGCAAACAGTACTCTTTTATACGGTCGCCGGGGATGTTGTCACTCTCTGCTCTGTCCAGCACTCACTGTGTTTCCTCATAATCGGTGACATAGACAGAAGTCTGGACCTCGTTTATCGTCCACAGAACGAGGCTGCACGCCGACATTTTCAGAACAAAAATAGAACAGGCTGCAGTGAGAGTCTCTCTCCATGGGATATTTAAAAATAGCAGGTTTGTGCATTTTGTCCTTCTTAGGCAAGCTCGGGGGTTTAGTTTTGCTGTAGCCCGACTCTACGCAACGCTGCAGTTCACATAACGCGGCTGAAATTAATATACATACACGCCTTAAGATCCACTCATTACTAAAAGTGTAATGTTCAAAATTGTCATATGGAATATTTAAGGTGTGTTGATTGAGTCACGTCATCAACTCATGCATTGAGTAACATTACAAGTTAACGTTCAACCTTAAAAGTTGCCGGCAGTCGGCCCAGTCAATTAAATTGTCGACTCCAGCTGCTGTGAGAGGCAGCAAAACATCCTCTCATTGCATATTTACAGTTTACTAATAAAACTCTCCACAGTATGAACAGTGGTTACATGAGCTTCAAAACCAGTCACATCTCAGCCCTGAGCAGAGTGACTGTCTGCTATTGACCAGTCAACAGACTGCAGTGTTCACAGCTCCACCAGATCTGTGTGCTAGGTACCCCAACAGAAGGGGGACCAAAAATGGGGACTGTACAGAACGGTTCTATTGGTACCATCCACAACTTTTCACAGTGGAAACTAGAAAAAAAGTGTACCGAACTAAACTGTACCGTACTGCTCGGTGGAAACGGGGCTCAAGGTTCCCTCGGATTGTGGTTGCGCCTTGATCGTGGGTCGTGGTTGCGCTGGTGCTGTGGTCCTGCCTGATGCCTACTACTACATTACTAGTCATACTTCTACTATTATTAGGACACACATATGGTTATTATTGTCACATACATAAACTAATAATATATAGATATACATACTACCATAAACTACTATAATTATTACTTACATTTCTATAATCATTGTTATAGTAGTAATTGTTATTATTGTTGTTGCTGTGCATCTCTGTCTCTCCCTCCATGTATCATTTTGTCATCCATTATGTACACATCTATTGCACGTCTGTCCATCCTGGAAAAAAGATCCCTCCTGCCTCTTTGAGGCAGATTGTGATTTGTGATATTAGGCTTTATAAGTAAAACTGAATTGGAAAATTGAATTAAAGTTAAATCCTTCTCATTTGATCAGACCATGACAAAGGGGTGGGCATAGAGTTTAGCCTGATGTGAAGCTACAGCGGAGTCCGTTCCTGAGTAGGCTGTTGGCTCCACACACACCTCACTCGACGTTAGACCAGGAGGAGGACGAGGAAGAGATGAATGAATATACCTCAGCCTGCTGATATCCAAACTATGGCTGCAACTGGCGATTTTAAATGATGATTAATCTGTCAGTTATTTTCTCGATTAATTGATTATTTATTTGGTCTATAATATGTCCGAAAATGGTGAAAAATGTCGATCAGTGTTTCCCTAACTTAGGATCCAGATGTTCAGTGACTAAAATCCTTCATCTGCTTAGAACATATAGTTTAAAATGACCAAGATCTAAAAAGTGTATCATTATAATGTGGCTGAAAACTGGATAAAAAGTGAATTTATGACAGCTTCTGGCACACAACCGCAACCCTGATGCTGAAAAGAGGATGATATGATGCCACTGACAGGCGATTCTCTGGGTTTAAACAATGTTGAAAATGTTTGGAATAATGTCATATACACTTAATGAAATACATTACATTGGTGTAGTTGTTTTTCAACATCTTAATGTGGAAATGTTACATATTATATCTTTAACTTGTTTACATAAGACTCTTCTTGCTGACGGTCTGGTTTGCTTATATAGCTTATACAGAGGCATCAGTATTAAATTGAGACTGTTTCAAAACCAGTCAAAAACTTCCTGTTGCAGCTTTAAAGGGGCCATAAAATGTATTTTTCCCCAGCAACAATGGAACACATGATTACACGTATATGGAAGGAATGAACCCACAGATCAGTATGACATAACTGTGCAGTTCCCCTCAGCTCTACGTGAGCTTTTCAGCATCTCTCAGTTCATCGTTTTGATTTTCCAGTCTGCGACCTTATCGTTTCGGTTCAGTCTCAGTGCTCTAATCGCTGCTCTAATGGTGCTGTTCTCAGTCGGAAAGCTCTAAAACCCCGCTACACAAACAGCACACAGACACAGTTAGAGACCAGCTGGTGAACACAGTGGAGCATTTCACATCTGGGGTGGTAAGTTTGATGCACAGAGGTTTTTAAGAAATACTGCACTACTACAACAAACAACAGCACTGAAATGCCACATAAACTTATCTGCCATAATGAAAGACCATCATGGAAGATTTACTACTCAAAAAACTTCCCTTAAGTTGATGCAGCAGTTCATTTACAATACGACCACCTGTCAGCTCCAGTTGGTGGAGACTAAAACGGAGATAAAAGGAGAGTGAATATTTCACTCAGATTCATCAGGTGCCCACAAACGGGACTCCGAATGAAAGTTTCTGTTCTGGATGTGAAAAGTGAGCAACTGTTTGCTAGTGTAAGGCAGGTTTCTCGCTCATGTCTTACCTATAAACGTACTAGCTACTGAATTAACTATCAAAGGGCTGTGGGAGAAGTAAGAGCATGAGAACAGCTTTTCTATGGAACTGGGTCCACTTTAATGTACGACACAGAACGTAGGACAACTGAACATCGACAACAATAGCAGCAACTTACATTTTATATATATCAGTCCTCTAAACTTACATTAGCAACTTCAATTTTTGCCTCCCCCAAGTCGCTTAAAACAATCAATTATTGCAGGTTTAATTCAAACGTTTTTGAACATCTGCACAACATGTACCATTTGAGATTTTTCTAAGTAAAAAAGGGTTTGTACACAAAGTAGAATACATTGTTTTCAGTATATTGGGCGTTGTGTCAACACAAGTATTACTTAAGACATTCAGCCCTTATGATATGGCATTAGGAAAGCTGTATTAGTAAAGAGGAACCAAAAGCGACAAAGAGACAAATTCTCTGAAAATGTACTCATGAGATGCTGAACATTAATAGCAGCAAACCACTATTTGCTGTGTACAGATATGGTGGAGCGATGGTGTCCTGAGCAGAGAATGAACTCCAGCTCCTTCTGTGTGTGTCGTAATCTGAGCTTCCCTGTTCTTCGCTGTGGTGGATAAATGTTATTAAGGCTTACAGTTACGCATATCTAAGGGTGGTGCTGCTTAAGTGACAAGCTGTCTGCCAGGCTCTTCAATCTGAAGCCCTTTTAACACAGAGATGGCGCTATAGGGTCGTACAAGGTTCCTTCTTTACCCAAAACCTATTTTTATTCATTAGCGTTTGAGCCCCACTGATGTGGCTTTCTCTGATGCGTGCTTGTGTGTGTTGTGTCTCTAAATGGATGTGCTGTGACAGTTATGTTACCTCTAATGTATGTGTGTTAAGCGTCTTATTCCTTTTGTACAGCACTTTGGTCAACGTGAGTTGTTTTTAAATGTGCTTTATAAATAAATTTGAGTTGAGCTGTGCCGCCTTTGCATTTTTGACACAGGACCAAAAAATGGTGGCATCCCTCCGTTCTTGTGTGTAATTTTAGACAGTATGCTGGCATCGGGGAATCAAAGGAGGCGTGGCGGGCGTGTAACACAACAGTGGTGGCCTCTAGTGGGACATATAACACAAGTCAACAGTACTTTCTAAACAATAACAATGGCTTAACATGGCAATAACAATCATTTACAGCACCTGTTATATAGCGGTTAATCTTGTCCTCTAGTCCGAGGGTAAGGAGCTCTTGAATTTCATTGTTTTTCCAATTTGTTGACATATTGGGCTGCTGTTTTTTTCTTTGAGTTAGCCACTAACGGCTATCAGCTGCTTTTTAAATCTCCCGCAGTGCCTCCCAACATAACACATTGTCAAAAGGTCACTCCCATACCACCCATGATCCTGTCCTGCCAGCTGTCCCATTTATACCAACACCGTTTTGGTACTGTTACTACCTCTGATGCTGGCTTTAAGGTGAGACAGCTCTGTCCCCCCATTCCACGATTATACCTTGTACCAGAACGGCAAGGTAGCATAACAGCGAGAAATTCCTGCCTTGAAGCGACAGCGTCAAAGAGGCTTGAGTCAGCTCCACCCCCTCTTCCAAATATGGTAACTTCTGGCTCCAAAAAACCAAGATGGCGTCTGCCAAAATACCAACCTCAAAGCTTCAAAGTGGGAGTCTACAAACCAATGGGTAGCATCATGGTGGCTACGTTCATTATTCTATACAGTCTATGGACCTGACCCACAGTCGAGGGATAGCGTCACCGTGAAAGTGTAACACCCACCCTCTGGATCACCCCTGGTTAACACTGTTAGCTCTGTCTGCACTGTAAGAATCGTTAGTACAACTAGTACTGCTACCCTTTTCCATTTTAGCCATCTCCGTGTTTGTTTCTGTTTTTTTGTCCACCCACTGTACAGATGGAGAGTGAGAGAAGGATCCACACAGAGGTGCAAGTACACTTTTTTTTAAATTGCGTTTTAGATCCGCCATAAACACCAACACATCTTATTTTTCTAATAATAATGATGTTTCCGGAAACAATTAATACTCAGCCGTTATCTATAACCTCGTCCACAATTTCTAACAAAGACTCTCACTTGAAGTGATTGCGTGTCATCAGTGTGACCTGCATGCAAAACGAGCCGTGCGGAGGCTTTTAAGCTGTCTTACCACATGGCAGGGACCACGCCAGGGCCATGAGGAGGTCACCGAGGTAATTGGGATGACGAACGAGACCCCACCAGCCAGACACCAGCAGCCGTTTCCCTGTTGCTGTGGCAATAGTCTCCAGTCCTGCAAAGGGAAAATGTAGATACTTCTGAGTATAATAAGTGCAGGTCACTTCAGAGATCAACATCCACTCCATTCTGACATACACAGAATGAGTTTAGATATATAATTAGAGAATATAAGTGTGAAGTGAGAATATTTGTCTTAACTTAGAGAATACTTTAAAAGTAAACGACTGACTTGCAACACTTGGATGTGTCGGGTCTCGTCTGAACTGGTTCTTCTGTGAGTTTGATTTTCTGAAAATATAATATCCAACACCTGACGGCAAAGAGAGAAAAGATAACATCACCATCTTTAAGCGTGACACACAGCATGTTACAGCCTGATGAAGAAGAGCTCACGTGTTATTACCGTTCAGTGCTATTATAGCTGCTGCTCCAAGTGAACTTAAGGTCTGTGGGTGCACAACCAGGAAGGCAGCCTGCAGGCCGTACGTAAAGGGGACCCAGGCCAGGTCCCCGAAGACCAGCATGAAGCCGAAACCATCATGCACAATGTCCATGGTTGTCAGAACAGCTTCCTGTTATAACACAACAGCACAGGAAGTGAGGGTGAAAACCTCTGAGGTCGCCTTCTGGTGTGCCACCTTTTAAACGTCTGCAGGACTAGGATGAGAGTTCACGTATGACATTAGGATCTACAGTACTCGACTGACTCTGTTGACCCCCCTCACCTCATTCCACAGAGCATCTGCCACATACAGCAGCTGGAAACAGTTGACCAGAATCATGGCGAGTGAGGGGGAGCCTCGGAGCTCCACCTCCTTCATCAGCATGCCGAGGTTTATGACCATCTGAGGGGAAAACAGGTGACATGAACATTGATGAAAATCATCAATTAGGCGGCATGTTTCACCTGCACTGCCCAAGAATTGGTAGATGAACTAAAAAAAAGTCACTATGAGGTTATATATTACACTAGATTACATTATATCATAATTATTACAACTGTTACATTGCACCTTATATCTTATACCTCATACTATACTGTGCTGCACTTTGTTTGTCTATTATAATGTCTTTCCACTTCATATATTTCTGTTTTGCTATATTAAAGTGGGTTCCCTGGGTCAGGGTCACTCACTGGGCCCAGTTCTAGAACAATAGAGTATTAAATATCTGGCAAAATATACAAATATATAAGATAGAAGTGTTTTCAAGGAGCAAAGGAGGTATGATAGGTAAAAGAGTAACTAAAAATGGTGGGGAAAAAACTAAAATGGTGAAAAAACCGACTGCTCCTGATAATCTATGATATATTGATTATTATATAACAATGAGATGTAGTGCTGCACATGACTGAGACAATGATATTGCACTACATTGACTGGTGAACATGATATTGAAGAATAATGTTGCACATGATGTGAAATTATGACACAAGATATTGACTGCTATCCTCCCTACAGAAGGGGGAGGAGTTGCACAGTTTGTGCAGGTGTACCTAATAAAGTGGTCACTGAGTGTGTGTGTGACGACTACATAAAACATTTTCATTTTGCTTTTACTTGCGTATTTTTTTTTTTTTTTTTATCTTAATGGGTATTAACACAGGGACCCAGAGATCCAAGATTTTCATAGTCACTGCCTGCTCCTCTGTAACTGTTGTGCATATAATAATAACAATGAATCATTTCGGAGACTTCACCCTTAAAATGCCATTATCAGCAACTGCAAGACGTTAAAGTTAAAAGAACAGAGTTTAAACATTCAACAGGAAGCACAAATCTCCCACACACTGTCTGTAGCCAGCTGGTGGGAGCTTTTTCTGTCCTCTCCTACGCACCTGGCGTCAGAACATTCAGATGTGCAAAGGTTTTACTGTTTGTACTGTAAATACGGAGGAAACAACGTAAATAAAGGACTCATTACATCCACATTTTTCCAGTATGACTCCATCCTTTCACTGTCTCTGTGTTGCTTTTTGTCACTAGTGAAGATAAAGGGGACCTTGTTGTAATTTTAGCAATCTTATTTGAAATTCTCACTGGAGTTTCTTTATTTTGTGTCACTTGGTGTGATGACTCAGACACGGATAATGATGCCTGCCCTCCAACAAACGTCTCACTGTGTCAGGTCATCAGGGAGAAAAGTTTCTCACTCTGACTGTGTCAAACTCTCAGGATGCAAATTATTATGGAGGATCGAGGGAGTGCAACATCGCCACCTGTTGGTCCTGTTGGGCTCTCTGATGAAGCTCACCATCTGCGTTAATTAATGTTTATTAAAAGTATGTCTCTTAAATTATTCAGACTTGTAAATATAGTGAGAGATCACAAAGGTTTCAACAGTACCTACCCTCCACAAGTCACAACAGATTTAGATACACCAGCTTTGTGTTTTAATAGTTTAATTATGAGATATTTGTTGATTTCTTTCCTTTTTAGGTCTTTTTTTTTAATGTAAGTCTATTGTTTTACTGCATTACTTCCTCTTTGCATGAGAACATGACAGCAATATGTTTTTTCAAAGTAAAATATAAAATGGAGGAAGATTCTGTGAAGCAAAATGTAATATAAAGCTCTCTTCACACTTGGAGACAGAGGCAGTTTCACAATTTCTGACCTCAAATTAGTGTATAGCAACTTAAAACTTTTGTAAGAGCCAGTTTCATCATGGTAAATGTACCTATAGCGCCTTTCTAGTCATCCGACCACTCAAAGTGCTTTTTACACTACAGTCACATTCACCCAATCACACACACATTCACACACAGGTGGCCAAGGCTACCATACAAGGTGCCATCTGCTTCTCAGTTTTTTAACACACTCATACACCCATGTAAGCATCATTGGGAGCAATTCGGGGTTCAGTATCTTGCTCAAGGATGCTTCGACATGCAGACTGGAAGAGCAAGGAATCAAACCGCTGATCTTCCAATTGGTGGGCGACCCACTCTACATCTGAGCCACATCTGCCCACATTCAGTGTCTGGAATTAAAACTTTCAAACATGGGGAACTGGTCGTTCACTCCTGCAGGTTAACTCACCCAGCCAATCAGACCTGGTCTGAGCTCACAGAAATATTTTAGGTCAAAGTTCCTAATCCGGGGGTTTAGCTCCCGTCCGATGAAGAAGTCATAGAGGGGATTTCCTGGACAGGACAGAGAGAGGAATGCATTCAAAAAATCTACAGCAGGATTTGACACATACTATGCTTTCAGTTTTTTGTAGGTATATACAGTCAGTAAAAAGTGCAAAGCAAATTAATATCATGTTTAGGGGTGATATAAGTCTATCATCGCAGACTTCGCAGCCCCTCTGTGATAAGGACGTTGAAAAAACACTGGTTATTTTAACGTGAAACTGCTTTAATCAGTCTATTTACTGGTTTGAATTATCAGGTGCATTTGTTTTGGAGAGGAAGAGACCTCTGTGGATAATTCTACTCCCGCTAAAGGTCTCCTGAACGTCTGGATCTTAAGTTACCAGAGAAAAAGGTGAGCACACGTTAGCAGGTGCTGGGCTAGCGGCCTATCTGTGACATGCCAAACAGCCTAAGAGAAACACTGATTTGTGACATAAAACTGCTTTATTTAGTGTTGTTACCGGTTTAAAATACCAGGTGCATTTGTTTTAGAGAGGAAGAGACCTCTGTAGATAATACAGCTCCTGGTAAAAACCTCCTGAACAATAAACACTACAGGAATCCTAACCAGGAGAAGTTTCAGCTGGTTGCAATCTTCAGTCTTCCCCACTAGATGCCACTAAATCCCCCTAAATCTTACACACTGGACCTTTAACACCTTTAACACCTTTAACAAATAACACTGGCTGGTACTACTGTGCTGTGATCACTATCTACACCAGGCAGACCTGGTTACTAGCTGCAAATAAGGCCCCTTGGAAATTGCAAATTAATTGAAAGGTTCCACACTAATTGAATTTTGCAATTTGTTCTGGCAATGTCAGGCTAGTTTAAGCCTATAAACTTAAAAGATCCACTTTCAAATTAATGTATGAAAGGCAGAACTGTAATCAATAATTTCATTTAGATGTGAATTCAAAGGTCCAGGTAAAATATCTGCTGTGAAAAAAGGCCTATGTTGATTCCTGGCGTTCAATCCACTGCACCAATTACTAGCTCTTTTGTTTGTAGACACATTGCACCTGCCCGTCTCGGCTTTCTTTCAGTTATTTTCAACCATTTTCTATTCCCAGAATGCCTTTTAACACCACCCAAAAAATGAGCATGAATTTGTTGCCTTTGGTCACTTCAGGCTGTTTATACATGTTCGTAAGTAGACAGCAGGAACAGTAATGGTCGACTGAGAGCTTCTGTAGTGAGAACAAGAGTCACTGAGGTCAACCGAAGCTGCTGTGTTTTCTGTTTTGTTTCATTTTGCAAAAACAAGAAGAGTCTGCAGTCATGCTAACAGCTCTGTGAGGCTGTGCTGCAGCATTTTGTCTTTTTTACAAACTGGGACGAATGTAATCATCGGTAAGCAGGAGCTGAATCACAATACTGGATGCTCTCAGGTTTCTGCCTTCAGATGCAGCAGAGCACGGCGCAGCCGGTGTAGCAGGGTCAATGTTCACTCGATGCCTGCAGGCTTATGAAGAGCTTGGCCCGCCGTTAGATAATTACCCACAGGAATACCAAAAATCTTCCACCACACAATAAAAGAGGCTTACAAATGCACAGTACATTGCCAGTGACTGTTTTAGAGAATGCTTTTTAAGGTGGATTCTTCCTTTATTAATGAACCTTCACGCTCACCTGTGTTGCCCCCCAAAGCAAGAGCATGAGAAGGAACCCAAAACGAGCGGATGTAGAGGTAGACAGAGAACAGGAATGACACTGCTATTGCACACACTGCCAGAGGCACCAGCAGCTCAAACAGATACCCCAGAGGAGCCCCGAGCCCCAGCAACAACATCAGTAACACACCACTGATGCACAGGCCATGAAAACCTGAGGGAGAAAAACAAACAAAGCTAAATGTTGTAGCCAGGGGAAAGAGATAAGCAGACTGACGCTAAAAAAAAAAAACAGTGAAAGTCGGAAGACATGGAAGTTCAGATTGTGTAACTCAAGTTAACTTTAGCTCACGGTCAGATCAGCCAGAGAGCGTGGAGGTTAGACTAAAAGATACATAAAGAAACATGACTTTTAGATCCTCCTTAAAATAAAATACCACAATGGGTGCATTGTGCTACACTGCAGCATTTCAATGAGGAAAAAAAGCATTTGTGTAAAACTCAAACATAACTGTGAAATATTACAGCTATCATAACACAATTATCCTCCGTTACTCAGCGTAAACACAAAGCTAGTCGTTGGTCAACAACACTGTAGAAATCACACTTATAATATGACTAAAAGATTAAAAAACTGTGCCTTTAACACATGCAAATTAAATCCTAAAACATATAATGTGTTGCAACACTCATGTTTTAATGATCAGTAATATAGATACCGTTTATGGGATACTTGAGACGCGTTCCATCCCTCAGCACTAATCCTTCAGACACCTGCAAGGAAATACATTCACTTTAAATCTGAACACATGAAACATATATTGAGTCATAGGCTCAGTTAAAGCATATATGATTTTTTCTATGGGATAAAATTTGATCCTATAACTAGCCGTGGATATTTGGGTCAAATTCACCTTATGAAAACTGTGCAATTCGTGTGTATACAGGGTCACGCACATAATATAACATCATGCTAAGGCTGGATAATATGGCTGACATTATCACTGGCATTAGTAAGAATATTCTTCACACAAATAACATTATGAATTGTGTACCACTTTTAACAGAGCACAGAACTAGAATTACCGCTACGTGGTTGTTTACCCGCAGACCAGTCAAGTTGTAGTTACAGTTTACATCAAACATTGATGCTTCACACACATCCTCCACCCGGCAGCACAGAGGATCTATACAATCATCAAAATATCTGCCCTTCTCTTCCTCAGATATGACGCAGAGTAATCGCCAGAAAAGTGCTTTCACAGAACATTATGATGTCCGCCTTTGACCTTTTGGATATATAAGGTCATCACTTCATTGTTTTATCCTGTTATAGGCAAATTTGTCATGTATAAATGTATGAGTGTATGAGGTCTGGAGTTTTGTCCCAAAAAATGTTCTGTGAAGCCACAGTGACTTTGACCTTTGACCTAAGTCCACCAAGTTCTGATCAGTTCATCGTTGAGGCCAACTGGATGTTTTATGCCACTTTGAATAAATTTCCTCAAGTTGTTGTGATGTTGTGTTCACGAGAATGAGACAGACGGACAACCCGAGAACATAATGTATCTTTTATAGTTTCTATGCCTCCAGCCGCAGCTATTGCCAGTACGGAGGCAAAGAAACTATAAATGAACATATAGAAACAAAATTGCAAAGTAACGTAACAGTGTATGGTGTATGGTGAAGTGTATCATCACTTCATTTTATCTTATTAGACATGTATGTAAAATATTGTCATAATTAGTGGAAGAACTCGTGAGTTATGGCCAAAGACATGTTTCATGAGGTCACAGTGACCTTGATTTTTGACTTCCAAATTCTAATCAGTTCATTCTTGAGTCCAAGCAGACGTTTGTACCAAATTTGAGGAAACTTCCTTATGGCCTTCTTGAGAAATTCCATTCACAAGAATGAGACGGATGCAGGGTCATAGTCACCTTGACTCGACCTCCAAATTCTAATCAGTTCATTGTTGAGTCCAAGTAAACATTTGTGTCAAAAGAATATTTTTTAAATCCTACAGGATGTTCTTGAGATATCACATTCACAAGAATGATAAAGTTCATAGTGACCTTGACCTTTGACCCCTGACCACCAGAATGTAGTCACTTCTTCATTGAGTCTAAGTGGATGTTTGTGCCAAATTTGAGGAGACTTCCTCAAGGCCTTCTTGAGATACTACGTTCACCAGAATGAGACAGATGCAAGGTCACACTGACCTTGACCTTTGATCACCAATATCTAATCAATTTATAGTTGAGTCCTAGTGAACATGTGTGCCAAACTACAAAAAATTCTCCCTTCTTAAGGTATTGTGGTCACAAGAATAAGACAGACAAGGTCACAGTGACCTTGACCTTTGATCTGCCACCATCAGAATTGAATCAGTTCATCGTTGAGTCTAAGTGGAAGTTTGTGCCAAATTTGAAAAAAGAAAAAGAAAAAAAAAAATTCTTGACATATCATGTTCACAAGAATGGGACATACATACAGACAGATGGACAACCTGACAACATAATGCATCTGGCCACAGCTATCGCTGGCGTGGGCATAACAATCCTCTTCACGTGTGTTAAAGACAGAAACTTTAAAAGGTACAGTATGCAGGATTATACTAAAAACAATGTATAGACATGGTGTATTTATCTGCAGAGACTCGGCCTTCTGTCTGGATTTCCTTATTCTGCTGTGTTTGGGATATTTTGAGGCTGCAACCTTTGGACATTGGTGTGTAGCCGCCAGCCAATAACAGTGTGCAGGTGAGGTTGGGGCTGATGAACGTAGCCTACCTTTCCTAATGGCATCACATAGAGGAGGGCATGCAGAGCGATCCAGCCCAGCAGAAGCACGAGGGCCAGAGGATCCCACAGCTGGTCAGTGGAGGGGAGCTGAGGGGGCCACTGGAGCACACTGGCCTCAGGGGATCGACTCACACTGATCAGGAACAGCACCATCAACGGGAGAAAGATAGGGATGCATATGGCACCTGAGAGATGATTACAGACTAAAGTGAGATGACAACCTGGGTGACATGACTGAGCAGCAGTCAGAAGCAATGAAGATAAAGTGAAGCAGCACCACAGGGGAAACTTAATAACGGAGCATAGTGAGACTATCTAATGCACGGCCAGATTTATATAGCAGATGTGTGATAACAGTGAATAATTAAGCACGTTGAATAACTATGTAGTAGCAAAACAACTGGTTTAGCTGTCGGTGTGGGTGCAACAAACGACATGATTTTACTTCAAGACAACCAGAGAGCAAAACGGATGGGATGCTCAATCGAACAAACAGCAGGAGATGAAGTACCACCAATGTGCTCTCTCTCTCTCACACACACACACACACACACACACACACACACACACACAAGCTGTGGTGTATTTGTTCTCTCATTTCCTGTCAAGTCTACAATGTAAAATCTTACTTAGGCGGTTGTAGTGATTCTTAATTAGAGCTACAGTTTGTGACGTTTGACAAGTTATTTTGTGGCAGATACATTAAAACTTTACATTTCATCAACGCTGTGGTTAATGTGTGGTTTGGACACAAAAACTATTTCAGTCAGGAACACTTAAGACGAAGAAAACATTATTTCCATTTGCAGTATTTTGTTGGGCGGTTTGGCTCTGTTCTGGGGCCCCTCTGCCTTTCCTTGGGCCTACACAGAAAGCCTCTTCCACACACCTATGTGAAAAGCCTAAGGCTGAGAGAGCACACCTGGCTGCCCTTCCATGTGCAAACAAGGAAAGCCTGACGCAGAGAGAGCAAACCTCTCTGCCCTTCCATGCGCCTACATGGACAGCCTAAGGCAGGGAGAGCAGCAGCAAAGACACCCTCGGGAACAGAACAGAGCAGCATCAATGACAGACATGATATTAATAAGTAAGACACAGCATGAAAAAGAGGAGCTGGGGTGGAGGCGGGTTGCAAAGTAGCTTGCAGAGGAAGCAGCAACAGTAGGCAGGCCAGAGCAGTTTAAATAGGGCGCCCTGAATGAGATTCGCCAATTGGTTGTATAGAAAGGAATCATGTGATCTATCAGCTGACTCCCTTCCATCAATCAGCTGCTCCATTAGTTGTTTGGGCTGTTTGAAATCAGCTGATGTAGCTGGGATGTGAGCTGAGCTTGACATCGTGAACTAATGCTGTGCTGTCATTGCAGTTTCCTGTGTGTTTCCTGCGTGTTTTGGATTTAAGGATTTGTTGCCTACTCCCGGTCTGTTTTGTTACCTTTTTGGACTGAAGTAAAGGCCGCGCTTTTTTAAAAAAAATTCTACTCTGCCTCCTGTGTGTTCTCTGCATTTGAGTCTGAGTTTTCACCAGAGTTGTGACATCACCTTTGATGTCAGCTTTTACCTGTGAGCAACACAGCGTAATGAAAACGTAATTCAGCAATGACAATTTCCCAAACAGAAGAAGAGTGAACATGTGACACGTTACAGGAGTGCATGAACAGAATCAAAGACAACATTTTGTTTATTTTCTGCTCAGCTGCAGCATGTGTGATAGGAAACACTGCTATATACCAATAATGTGAGTTAACTGTTATATAAAGGTAAAAACATCTGAAATACAATGAAGGTGGATGTGTCATGGTGGCGCCCTGGTTAGGCAGTCAGGCCTGCTGTGACTCACCCAGGGTTCCTCCAAACTCCCTCTCTGTGTCATGTGGAGATCTGTGTTTGAGCGACTGACTATTTGGCCTCATTATTGCTCTCCTGTGAAAAATAATAGGAATGTAGACATATTTCTGTCATAATAAAGACATCTGAGGAACAAATAATTAGACTGGAATGCCGATTAGTGCAGAGCTCTCTGATAATTTTGAACTTTTACCTGTGAGAAAAACTAAAAATCCTTTACATACCAAAAATATAATCAATGTACACACGCATTATGGTGCTTTATTACAGATTAAAAGCCCCTTATTTATATTTAATTCTAAGTTTTTCAATTTAGCATGAACATCACAACCTATTCTCTCCAACAAAAGAAACAAACCAAAAAAAATCAATATAAAGACACATTTCACAAAAACAATCAGCCAAAAAAAATATCTATTTTGAGACTCTCTTGTCACTAAGGTATCTCAACCATTGTACCTGGACGTTACAATTATCTTACAATGGAGCCAGTTCAGAGATTATAGTGAGTCAACAGTTGATAAAGGTAAATGAAAGGATGCCAAATCTTTAAAAAGGCATCATATCTGTTTTTCAGGACATAGGTTATCTTATCTAGAGGCATACAAATACAGATATATAGATTGATTGATATAGAGATGGGGGAATCTGACTTCCAGGTTAAAGCAATGTACTTCCTGGAAACAGCAGGAGCAATATTAATACATTTCCTCAAGCTTTGATTTCAAATTTGTAACATTTCCCCGGAGAAAAAAGTCCTGGATCTAATGAAATTGGTGTGTCCATTATTTTAGTGAGTGTGTCACACAAATCACACGAAAACGTTGTAACTTTCGTGCAGTGCGATGTGCAGTGTAGCATAGCGCCCTCTGCAGTGCAATTTTGAGGGGTTAGGTACAGCTGATGGATAAAATTGTAGTTCACCAATCTAAATCTGGCATTTACAGTGGCGATCAAACCGTTCTGACATAAGCCAGACCATAAATCTTCATCTAAAGTAACACCTAGGTCAGACTCACATCTCTCTCTTGATCTGTGTACATCATGTTTTGGGCATTCAGTCACTATAACATACATCCTGCTAATAAATTGCCTTGAACCTTTGTTACCGTGAAACACTTCCTCCACCTTTGTCTGGTCAGGTAGGGTCATTTGATCCCCAGACTTTTTTTAATGAAGGCTCTAAGTTGGGGTCAGGGGCTTTTACTTTTGATACTTTAAGTACATTTACTGGTAATACTTTGACAGTTGAAAAGAGGACTTAACATGTATTTTGGAGTATCATTACACGATAAAAAAATAAAAGTAGCGTCTTCCACCACTAGTCTGTGGAGGCAGTTATTCCCTCATAGGCTTATCAAACAGCGCTCATATTTAAGCAGGAGGACACTTTACAGGAGCCATAATCACATGGAAATTTTGAATACAGTTGATCACAAATGGACGACCACACGTCCCACTTATCTCAGTAAGATTTTTCTAAGTTAAAAGCAATTTTTTAAAGTGACTAGCTTTGCTAAAAATGTGAATCATATACAGTACAGGCCAAAAGTTTGGACACACCTTCTCATTCAATGCGTTTTCTTTATTTTCATGACTATTTACATTGTAGATTCTCACTGAAGGCATCAAAACTATGAATGAACACATGTGGAGTTATGTACTTAACAAAAAAAGGTGAAATAACTGAAAACATGTTTTATATTCTAGTTTCTTCAAAATAGCCACCCTTTGCTCTGATTACTGCTTTGCACACTCTTGGCATTCTCTCGATGAGCTTCAAGAGGTACTCACCTGAAATGGTTTCCACTTCACAGGTGTGCCTTATCAGGGTCAATTAGTGGAATTTCTTGCTTTATCAATGGGGTTGGGACCATCAGTTGTGTTGTGCAGAAGTCAGGTTAATACACAGCCGACAGCCCTATTGGACAACTGTTAAAATTCATATTATGGCAAGAACCAATCAGCTAACTAAAGAAAAACGAGTGGCCATCATTACTTTAAGAAATGAAGGTCAGTCAGTCCGGAAAATTGCAAAAACTTTAAATGTGTCCCCAAGTGGAGTCGCAAAAACCATCAAGCGCTACAACGAAACTGGCACACATGAGGACCGACCCAGGAAAGGAAGACCAAGAGTCACCTCTGCTTCTGAGGATAAGTTCATCCGAGTCACCAGCCTCAGAAATCGCAAGTTAACAGCAGCTCAGATCAGAGACCAGATGAATGCCACACAGAGTTCTAGCAGCAGACCCATCTCTAGAACAACTGTTAAGAGGAGACTGCGCCAATCAGGCCTTCATGGTCAAATAGCTGCTAGGAAACCACTGCTAAGGAGAGGCAACAAGCAGAAGAGATTTGTTTGGGCCAAGAAACACAAGGAATGGACATTAGACCAGTGGAAATCTGTGCTTTGGTCTGATGAGTCCAAATTTGAGATCTTTGGTTCCAACCGCCGTGTCTTTGTGAGACGCAGAAAAGGTGAACGGATAGATTCCACATGCCTGGTTCCCACTGTGAAGCATGGAGGAGGAGGTGTGATGGTGTGGGGGTGTTTTGCTGGTGACACTGTTGGGGATTTATTCAAAATTGAAGGCACACTGAACCAGCATGGCTACCACAGCATCCTGCAGCGACATGCCAGCCCATCCGGTTTGCGTTTAGTTGGACGATCATTTATTTTTCAACAGGACAATGACCCCAAACACACCTCCAGGCTGTGTAAGGGCTATTTGACCAAGAAGGAGAGTGATGGAGTGCTGCGGCAGATGACCTGGCCTCCACAGTCACCGGACCTGAACCCAATCGAGATGGTTTGGGGTGAGCTGGACTGCAGAGTGAAGGCAAAGGGGCCAACAAGTGCTAAACACCTCTGGGAACTCCTTCATGACTGTTGGAAAACCATTTCAGGTGACTACCTCTTGAAGCTCATGGAGAGAATGCCAAGAGTGTGCAAAGCAGTAATCAGAGCAAAGGGTGGCTATTTTGAAGAAACTAGAATATAAAACATGTTTTCAGTTATTTCACCTTTTTTTGTTAAGTACATAACTCCACATGTGTTCATTCATAGTTTTGATGCCTTCAGTGAGAATCTACAATGTAAATAGTCATGAAAACAAAGAAAACGCATTGAATGAGAAGGTGTGTCCAAACTTTTGGCCTGTACTGTATAAATGTATAAATGTGTACATCTCACTCATGACTTGCCTGGTGTTGTCAGAACTTTTAAGTTTTCCTCAGACATTCACTCATATTGTACAAGACACTCTAAGGACCGTTATCTTCCATATTGTCTGACTTCTCTTAATCAATATTCATTGTAATACAGAGGACCATCTCTTTGGAACAACCTTCTTCCATCTCTACAATCATCATCAAAAGGACTCTAATTTGCAAAGACTCTTAACACATCCCTGATTCAGTATGAAATCAGCATTTTTATCTTTTTCCTTTTTAGGTATGATTGTTGTTATTTAACATGGGAGGTATCTTCATGAGCCATTTTTGGCTTCTAGCCTCTCCTGCACAATGTTTTAACTTTTAATTTCTTTTTTCTGTATTTTCTATACATGTATGTGCACATATACTAAACTAAACCAACGATGCAGGAAAATAAATCAGGGTGAAAGAGGAACAATGTGATTTTTTCAGTGTCAGCAAAAAATATATTTAAATATTCTGCTATTACATATATTGATATTAAATTAGGCAATTATTTGCAAGCTGCCACATAATTTAAATCAGCTGTTATTTTGTATAGCCTGTTAGTGCTGTCATAAACCACCGAAACAAAGTTCAGGTGTTCCTCTAACTGCATTTCTATTATGAACCATGAGACAAAAGGCCGTTTAGTTGTCGTCCCTTCACCTGCTGATACTAAAATGACCGGAAACAGCGGCTTAACAGAAAAACACAGCGTATAAAAAGGAGTAACGTGCTGCTTGTCTTGGAACTCAGTAAATTCAGTGTCTTACCGGTGTAAAGCATGGAGCTGTAGACGGGACTGTAATGATATTCTAATGCATCCATCCAGCAGCAGCCTGCAGGCGGAGACGCCCCCGAGACACGTTCGGGAGCACGAAGCTGCCTCTCAGCCAATCAGATGCCTCCGCGGTCATCAGAAGAGGGTGGGGAAAAGAAGGTTGAACCAATCAGAGGAGCGCATCAGGTGGCGACAGACGGTGCATGCTACAGTCCGGAAGTGACTGGTAAACGTTGTGAAACACCTGAATTACACCGATGAACTGTTATATTGCGGAGTTAAACTAATTATAATCAATTATAATACGTAATAAATTGTTATTTATTTTTACATATAATTTAGACTTCTGAAGTGGTCCTATGATCACAATACAAGGAAATACTGCATAGATATACATACTGAAATAATGCTGTTGAGGACATTATGTTGAATAACTGTACAGCCCTTGATAAAAATTTCAACGTTGATTAGTTACACCACCATTTACCATCCCAGTTAGCCACAGTAACCTGACCCAGCATCGGCCCAAACTCAAGCTGAGCAAGCTGGAAGAAATAATAATACATTCTTATTCAAAGGCGCCTTTCCTGACACTTAAGGTCACCTTGCGGGCAAAGATAGAGAAGATAACAGCAGATTAAAAAAGTCAAAGACATAAAGAATAAAGTAACATAAAATAAATAACTGAATAATAAAATAATGATAACAGCAAATAAATATTCATCAAAACAGGTTTACAGTCAATAACATTCTGTGTAAATAGTGAGTCAGACTGATCTGAAAGTGGACAGAGAGTTGATGCTACAAATGTCCGGTGGGAAGGAGTTCCAGAGGCGGGGGGCAGAGCGGCTGAAGGCTCTAGTCCCCCAGGTGATCAGGCAGGCTGGTGGGACAGCGAGGTGGATGGAAGAGGAAGACCTGAGGGTGTGAGTGGGGATGTGCAAGAATTGGCAGAGGTACAGAGGAGCTTGGTTGTGGATGGAATTAAAAGTAAGGAGGAGAAGATCTTGAAGTCAATGCATTGTTTAACTGTGAGCCAGTAAAGCTGCTGAGGAACAGGAGCGATGTGATTGGTGGAGGGGGTTCTGGTGATGATGCCAGCGGCAGAGTTCCGGACCAGCTGAAGTTTGTGGATGGACTTGAGAGGAGGACCAAAAAGGAGCGACTTACAATAATCAATACGGGATGTAAAAAAGACAGGCTGCCTTCAATTGCCCATCTCGACTGAAACTTGGGATAAATTATGTCCCAGAATCAGGACAAATAAGCTGACCCAATTCTGGCTGCCAACCCTGCCATTACTGGCCTGGCCTAGCATTGGCCCAAACTCTGCATGCAAGAAGAAATAAGTAAGGCCACATCCAGTTGCCCGACACAGCTGAGACAAGGGTTGAATGACGCCCCATAGTCGGGCCAAATAAGCTGGGCCGACTCTGTATGTCGGAAGATATAAGTCTGGCCCTTCCCGATTACTCCACTCAGCTGAGACTTCGGATGCATGACATTCCAGAATCGGGACAAATAAGCTGGTCCGATTCTGGCTGCCGACACTACCATTACTGGGCTGTTATCAGACCATGACCTGGCCCAGCATTGGCCCAAAATCTGCATGCTGGAAGAAATAAGAAAAGTCAGGTCGCGCCTGATTACTCAACTCGGCTGAGACACAGGATGAATGACACCCCAGAATCGGGCCAGCTGTCGACCCTGCCATTACTGGGCTGTTATCAAAATATGACCTGGCCCACCATCAACCCAAACTCTGCATGCCAGAAGAAGTAAGTCAGGTCACGCCCGATTACTCGACTCGGCTAAGACTTGGGATGAATGATGCCCCAGACTCGGGCCAAATAAGCTGGCTCGATTCTGGCTGCTGATTCTGCCATTACTGGGCTGTTATCGAGACATGACCTAACCCAGCATTGGCCCAAAATCTGCATGCTGGAAGAAATAAGAAAAAGGTCATGTCATGCCCAATTACTCAACTCAGCCAAGACACAGGACTAATGACGCCAGAATCAGGCCAAATAAGCTGGCCTGATTCTGGCTGCCGAACCTTCCATTACTGGGCTGTTATCAAAGCATCACCTGGCCCACCATCAGCCCAAACTCTGCATGCCGGAAGAAATAAGTCAGGTCGCACCCGATTACTTGACTCGGCTGAGACTTCGGATGAATGATGCCCCAGACTCGGGCCAAATACACGGGGCTGATTGTGGCTGCCAACCCTGCCATCACTGGGCCAAAACAAATAAATTCATAACTGAATAAGAAGACCTTGCTCAGCATCGGCCCTAACTTGGCACGCCATTAGAAATAAACTGGCCCGATTCAAGCTGCAGACACCATCATCACAGGAATTAAAGGTTGTTTGAACATTTCACAATTCCTACATTAAATATTGTTGGTGTGTCGGCGGTAGAAGAACACACATTAAATCTTACATTCATACACTTTTATTGGAGACATACACGTTGAAATCATCCCTAAACGTACTGTTTATCTGTGGAAGACATGCACAGAAAACAGAGAATCAACCAACCTCAAGGCAAGAGTTAAAGTAAATCTGCTGCAGTTATTTTAGTGTTAGAAGTAATCAGGTGATATTCAAATTGCAGATTATTTAAAAGCCCCCTAAAATGATTTATGAATACATGAGATTTTCACAGGACACAACTTTTCTCTTCAGTCATTCAGTTTGTATGCACATTAAACACATTTCTTCAAGGGGTACGAGCCAAAAAGTTTCTCTTGTATCACGGATTATTTTTTTTTCTCTCCTATATTTGCACATAGAGGAGGTGAGAGGGGTTTCTCTTCTTATATTCTATGGTTTTTAAATGACTGTTGTAATATGCAACCCAAGCACTAGAGACTGAGGTGGTATGTAATGTTAATCTTTCCCAAACTGACTTTCTTTAGTGTTGGAAGATTTACTGACATTCTTACAGCAATAAAAGTGCGATCTATATGTTCATTTTTACAGTATAATATGTATCTGGATCAATTAATTTAACATTTAACAGTAATAATGTAACGAAGTGTTTGAACTTCGATGCATGATTCCAGTGTTTGTTGTAACTTGTGATACGGTGTCTGGAGAAGACTGTGTGCTGTGTGCTGCACTTTGAGCTTTAACCCCGCTCACAGATGACTTCGATCACACTCTGCTCCATTGGTGCAGGATCCAGGCAGCGGTGGGCGGAGCTCCCCACTATCTCGTCCAGCAGGAAGTGCACAAGGTTCTCATCGGAGACGAAGCGCCACAGGTACATCTGCAGGTAGTGGCAGTCCACCTGGATCTGCTGCAGCCCGTAGCGGCCGAAGGTACGCAGGCGGACACACTCCAGGAATGTCTTTAGACTGATTTTGATAATTCCTGTCATCACAGAGACCTGGGACAGTGGAGGGGAGTGTGAGCGTGTGTGTGATGTTTTCACTGAAGATTACACTACAGTACAGGGATGGGAACTGATAAGATTATATAAATGCCATCATTAATTCTGCTTTTTGGTCAATTTTTTTTTATCGAATTCCTTATTTATTCCTGATCAATTCTGTGTGTAAAAAATAGGAAGGCCTACACAGGCATATACGGCCAATTTACAGTCACCAATTAACCTGCATGTCTTTGGACTGTGGGAGGAAGCCAGAGTACCCAGAGAGAACCCACGCTGACATGGGGAGAACATGCAAACTTCACACAAGAGGGCTCCCCCACCCTGAATTCGATCCCCCGCACCCTGGGTCCGAACCACGAACCCTCTAACCACTGCACCATCGTGCCGAATACTTGTACAGCATGCACTTTCATTTAGGTTTTCTTAGTTGGAGAAAACTCTGCTGAGCCTGCCTACATGGTGCTAATGTTGTTATACCAGGATATTTACCCTCGGACATGCTGCTCGGTTGGAAACAGTGGATTCCGTGCGTCAAGTGTCAAATACATGGCATTCCTGGAATATATTCCCATTTTGTGTATAAAGATGATTCAGGATATTGCTGGTGTCTCCAACCTTTACATTACTTTACAGACTTTACAAGCAGCACTGCTGTTGTCTTTCTTTGTGAAATGAAGTCACGCTTTGGGGCATTTCTTTCTCTCCACCTTGACTCCTTCTTGTTCCAAATTTCCAGCATTTTTTAAGGCGCAACTGTCAGAAAAACATGCCGGTATCTATAAAAGGAATTGATAAGCTCAAAGGCATGTAGTCCCTATGAATCGGACAATTTGGGATCTGTTCTCAATTCCCATCCCTACTACTCGCCCATGGGCCCAGGCCATGGTGGCAAACTCTAGTTTTCTAGAAACATGGTGGGCCTGGGTGCCTGCCACAGACAAACTCATAAAAACCTGTGTATATTATTTGTATATACGTTAAAGTCTATGCATGTGTATTTCTATGTGTGATTCAAACTTTATTATATTGATCGATAAGATCTTACAACAGACTGCACACAAACCTACTTTGAGGATACTGTAGGGCAATAATAGCAAACTGTCCAAAAAATGAGTAAAGCTGGAAATTTGAAACTATTATCATGTTTCAAAGTACCTGTATGGACCCTACAAACCAACTGGTACCAAAGAATCCTAGGTGCTATATCGTAGGCAGATTTTGCGACCTTAGACGGTACCAAACTCTGGCCTGGTCCATGGACTATACGGAGTGACGCAGACCTTCACTCACCTTGTTGAACTCCACTGAGCTGAAGATGTCGATCCTCTCAGAGAACAGCTTGTGTATGTTGCTCAGCAGATTAGTATCCATGGGAGCACTGCAGGCAGACAAAAAACAAATCACTTAACAAAAATACACAATTAGAACAATGACCTTATTCTACTGATTAAAGGCAACTCAGTCACAATTGACCCCCCTGCAGTGAAGGTGACGATGGTAATACAAATTAGCTGCCTGTGTATGTTCGTATGCCTGTCACACACAATATCTCACCAAACCACTGATATACAGACAGAATAATGCAGAGGAATAAAAGAACAGCATGTAATGTCTATTGCTAGTTAACCTTAGGTGGAGGATTCATGGGGAAATTCAATGTTTTCACTCTTGC